TATATATGAATATATAAAAAATATATCAAAATGCGTGTGGGTACTCAAATGAAAGCTCTTGATGAGTGTAACATCGGGATGAACTTATATCTTAAAAAACGTCAATATTTAAGAAAGTACAGTGCAATTTAACAAAATTCATTATTTAATAAAGCAAAATTTTTTTTTTGTTAAAGGTATTGAATGTATGGCACAAGGATGTGGCGTATTAGTACCAGAAGATTTTGTTCTTTCACTACTGACAAAACCTAATATGAGAGACAGATATCAAAGTTTTGCATTTCGTGATTATGTAAAAACACATCCTCAATTACGTTTTTGTCCGGGACCCAATTGTCAGATAGTTATGAAGTCTAAAGAACGTCGAGCTAAAAGAGTTATCTGCTTATCATGTAAAACTATTTTTTGGTAAGTAGATTAAAAAAAAAAAGCAAAAAGTTACCAAAAAGATGAAGAGAAAATTTAATTTACGTTAAATTTTGTAGTTTCTGTTGTGGAATGGACTATCATGCTCCAACAGACTGTAAGACAATAAAAATGTGGTTGACTAAATGCGCCGATGATTCTGAGACAGCAAACTATATTAGCGCGCATACCAAAGACGTAGTTATATGAATATTTATAAAAAAACAATTTTGTTTTAAGTATTGATACTGATAAATATTTAATTTTATGACATTTTACAGTGTCCTAAATGTCACATTTGTATAGAGAAAAATGGGGGTTGTAATCACATGCAGTGCTACAATTGTAAGCATGAATTCTGCTGGATGTGCCTTGGAGATTGGAAGACTCACGGTAGCGAGTATTATGAATGCTCGAGATACAAAGACAATCCAAATATTGCGCATGAAAGCTCTCATGTCCAAGCAAGAGAGGCACTGAAAAAATATTTACATTATTACGAGCGAGTATGTTTTTTTGTTGTAATTTAAAGAAAAATTTATAAATATTTACAAGTTGGCTCAACCATTTTTATTTTCATTCCGAACAAAATTTCTATTTGATTTCATTGATATATTTATACCAAAAAATTTATTAGTGTAAAAATTTATTAATGTAAATTTTTTTTTTTCAGTGGGAAAATCATAGCAAGTCTCTAAAACTTGAAGAACAAACGTTAGAAAATATAAAATCAAGAATAAATAAAAAAGTTATGAATGCCAGTGGTACTTGGATTGATTGGCAGCATTTATTTGGCGCGGCTTCATTGTTAGCCCGTTGTCGCTACACTTTACAGTACACATATCCATATGCGTATTATATGGAACCTGGACCGCGTAAACAACTGGTTAATATTTATATAAATAAATTAATAAATTAATCATGCAAAATTTTGTTAAGTGAATAATTATAAATTTTTTTTTGATAGTTTGAGTACCAACAAGCACAGTTGGAAGCTGAAATCGAGAACTTGTCATGGAAAATAGAACGAGCTGAAACCACAGACCGTGGTGATTTAGAAAATCAGATGGACATTGCTGAGAAACGTCGTGTTACTCTTCTGAAAGATTTTCTAGATGTAATTTTAGCTTATAAAAATATTAAATTAAAAATTTTATTTTATATTAATTTTAATTATTTTTTTTCAGGATGCAGTTGATTACAATAACAAGTATTATCAAGAGGATCAAAGAGCTTGATAGTTATACAGTCCGAATCACTGAAAGATAATCTAGCGTTTTTAATTAAATGAATTTTGTGTACTCTGTAAGAATATTGGTGAATTATTAGTACTAATAATCTAAACTCACATAGAAAATGTACTATTAAAAATAATTGTGAGAATATATTTAATTACGCGTAATTGTAAGTTTACGTTTTATCGCGACAATTAGAGCTTACCAGTTTATTCGCAGTAGGAAAAATAATTCGTGTTTGTTGAGTGCCAATATAAACAGAATGTTTGTTGATTTTAGTAATTATAATTATACAAATTAAATCTTTATTATTATTTCAATATTCAATCATTGAGGCGTATGGTTCCGTACGATAATTATTATTACTTATTCTTATTACCAATCCCAATACTTAAAAAGAAATAGTTTTAGCGGAAATGATAAGAGAAAGAATTAATAATGAGAAGAACAATAATAGTTTAATATCTTTGTAAACCCATAAGTATTTTTAAGGCTAAGGTAATTTAATGACTTTCATAGAACTTCATTAGATAAAATTATTAATTTTGGTAAACAATTGTTATCTTAATCATAGCGTTAATTATGTAAATACAATTGTGAAACTACTTATACAAGAACTCTATATCTCACTTTTTTTTTTTTTTTTTATAGCAATCATTAGATTTTTCAAGTGAAATATATTTCATTCTTCATTATTTAACGGTAATATTAAACGATTATCAAGACTAGAATAATTACTTCATAAACTATTTTCATTCATACATTATATTTATAGCTTTTATTTATATTTATGTAAGTATTACATAAATTTATCAACGAAAAAAAAAATTGTTTTGCTTAAGTAAATAAATTAAACATATGAAAATATTTTTTATTGTATTTTTATACTCTAATCCATTTTTTTTTTTTTTAATTTAATAATTTTTAAAATTTTATAGCAAATAAATTATGGGAAAAAAAATTGAGTAGAAATTTTAAAAAATAAAAAATGTAATTTTTTTTTTAAATAATTTTTTTTGATATAAAATTAAATAACTGCTAACTTTAATGTCATGTAAAATTTTATCTTGACAATTTTTTTAAAATTAGGTCTAGAAATATATTTTTAAAAAATTGCATTTATAATTTTTTAGAGCTTCTATAAATAGAATTTTTAAAATAAATTTTTCTTGTCATAATTTATTTGTTAAAAAAATTATCACAAGTTTCTCAACTTCAGTTTAATCAATTTTTTTTTTATTTTTATTACAAATCAATTATAAAAAAAAATATATTTTTGAAAAATTTGTTTTTAATAAATAAATGATTGCCAACAAAAATTATAAAAAAAAAATTTTTTTAAATTAAAAATGCAATTTTTTAAAAATAACTTTTTGGAACAAATTTTTTTATTAAAAAAAAAATAAAAAAATTGTCAAGACTGCTAACTTTAATGTCATAAAAATTAAAGCGCAATAAATAAACTTTTACCAATAATAACTTTTTGAATCTTAGTAAAAATAGCCAAGAGGTAATTAATTAAACGTCAATGCAGTAAAAATACAAAGGTATAATTTAAAAGTGAAGGTATTGAAATATTGACTATAAAATGCGCATGCTTTCGTAGGCGATGCATGTGTGAATGTAAGTAAAGAGGATAAAGCGCTAGAGCGTAATACATACCAAAGGAAGACAGTAAATCAAAAGAGAGACGAAGTGACTTATTGGTCAGAATGGTGGCTGGAGAGGGACACGGTGATGCCGGGACCAGGATTCGTTGTAATCGTTGTTGGATTGGTTAGTAAAGTTCAGTGTCATCCAAGTGCTACTATCCAACTGAATTATTCTCCTCGGATAAATAAATTTAATTGATAAAATAAAACCGGTGAATATATCTAATTGTTTAAAACGCATGACGGGAATTATATTAATTTTCTACTGTCACTATCATCTGTCTGGTAATCCATAGTTGATACTCATTGGATCACATCATCTAATTTGGCAGCTGGATTAACATTTATAAAAGTGTTTTACAATGGCGATGGGCAAAGGGTTTCGTGTTTACGAAAAATTAAAACCTCCAAGTCCTCATTCGCTTATTTTGGAGCATCGTAACTGTAAGGACACTGTGCTCTTTGAATCACAAGCAGTCGCGGTTCTTTGTAAGTATTGTTGTCGCAATGTATCTCACTTGTTCATGATAGTTCAATATAATACTAAAGTTAGTAATCAACTGTCAATTTTTTTATTGTTATAAAAAATCAATTACAATTAAAAAATGCTCCAAAAATATTTTCACTTGTATTTTTTTTTTTTTTTTATTTTAACACGTGCAATTTTTTTTTTAAATAATTTCATTGCTAAAAAATTTATAATGTCTGTCAACTAGTGTTATTACTTTAATTAACTGACATTTGATGATTTTTATAAAATTTTATTTATTATGATTACAATGAAGTTGACAGACATTAAAAATTTTTTTAGAATTTTATAAAAATAAAATTATTAGTGGAAATTTTTTTATTATAATTTAATTGTTATAAAAATTTTTAAAATTGATAAAAAAATTTTTTTTCATTTGTTAAAAACTTAAAAAACTATAATTCCAATTTTTTAAAAATATTTTTTAGTTATAATTTAATAAATTAAGCAAAATAAAAAAAATCAAAAATGTCGGCTAACTTTATTATTATCTTTATTTTTTTTAATTATTAAATTAGAACTGAAAAATATTTAAAAAAAAAATTGCACTTACAGTTTTTCAAATTTTTTACAAATGAAATTTTTTTTTTTATTATTTTGCAATTATTTTTTGCAATGAAAAAAAAGAAAAATTATTGTAATTTTTTAAAATATTTTTTTTGGAGTAATTTATTAATTTTAAAAAAATTAAAAAACTATTAAATATCTGTTAATTCGTTGTTATTTTAATATTATTATAAAATGCTATTTATTGACAATTGTAACAACAATAATAAAAAAAAAAAAAAAAAAAAAAAAAATACATTACAATAACTATTAATTAATAGCTAATAATAGTGGGCGTAGAAAAGTAATCAGTTCTTCAATTCAGCGAATTGATAATAAAATTACTTCAATCTCAAATAAATAATCTTCATAAGAAAAAGAAATACTCATTTTTGATAAGGTAAATCTCTTAATATTATTTACAAATCCAAATAATCAAAATAAATTTACAGCTGCGCAAGAAACGGAGTCCTTGAAGTCTCAATACACAAAGCTGCTAGATGCATACGGGTGTCTTGGAGTTCTCCAGCTGAATGCTGGAGAAAATACCCACCTGTACCTGGTGCTGGTGACCGGGTGTTTTTCCATGGGCAAAATAGGCGACTCGGAGATATTCAGAATCACCCAGACACACTTTGTTCCTCTGCATTACACGCAAGGAAACGAGGACAGAGTTTCCGAGGTTCGGAAGGTCTTGAACTCTGGTACGTTTTACTTCTCCTGGACTGCTGGGACACACGAAGCTCTTGATATTACCTTGAGCGTACAGCGAAGATATAAATCAACGTGTACTGATAATAGATTTTTCTGGTGAGTCGATCGTCGGCGTAGGTCAGGAACACAAAGCCGGCCGGTGGTGGCGAATACCGGAGGCTAAAAACCGTGTAATTATAATTCCGTTGACCAAAAACTCAACCAAGTAATTTTTATATCCAATAAAATAAAACAAAACTTATTTTTATAGGACAGTTTAAATTAAGCTTGTCACTTTAATAATAATAAAAAAAATAAATGCCCAATTTAAATGATAGGTGTTAATTAAATGATAGATATATTGGTCCACAGTACAAGTATTTATTTATTCTGTACAAAAGTTTAATTATAAAATATTATGTCCCACATTAATTAGGTATTCATTCTTAATTTTTTTTTTTTTATTATTTTTATACCACATCTTGTCTGGAGTTATCTTTTAGCTTCTATAACAATCGTCATGTATATATAAAACGCGTGTGTAATAAAAAAAATTGTAGTGTGTGTATGTGTGCAGTTTGCTCGAATAATTTTTTAAATTTCAATAACAAACTATTCGCCTTAGGATTTTTGTCCATACAATTTGTTATATATTTTTTTTTTTTTTAATATATCATTAATTAATTTAATACTCATTACTCATAATTAATAATCAAATAACTCGTTATTATAATAATAATAATAATAATAATTATTATTATTAATTAATCTATATCGTATCCAACTATCAATACATTAAGTGAGTATTGTGCAATTTCTTCTTCATTTTATTTTACACTTTTTAAAAATATTCACAAATAATTATTAATTATTTAATTATTAATAATTAATCATTTTTTTTAATATTAATATTATTATAATTATTGGATTAGTCGTTAATAATTAATAATTATTAATTATTAATAATTATTATTTTTAATAATTTTAATTTTTAATAATTATTATCAGTACAATTTATTTTTGACATGCAACATACACGCATACACACACACGCACAAAATAATTAACATTAAGTGTTCGTTGATCTCGAGAGATTATTTTATTACCACACATGTAATTGTCGTTTTTTTTTCTCAAATTAAAAAAAGAAAAAAAAATAAACAAGAAGAAGAAGAAGAAGAAGAAAACATTGAGCGCGTGGTTAAGCGTACAGAATTTTTTTATCTCTGCAAGTGTTATTATTTTAAATAATTACCCTCGCACACGTGTGATTTTTTGTAACTCCATGGCACTTATTAAACTATCTACTAATCACGCTAAATTAAAATCAATTTTTTTATACTTTTTTTTCTAGTACTTTCAAGTTCGCGACATATTTTTTTTAAATACTGAAAAAAAAAAAATTATTTTTACACCCGCCGGGAATCGAACCCCGTGCGCTCCGGTTATGAAATAAGTAACTCGACCACTTCCCCACTGTCAATTTTTTGACCTACTCCAAATTGAAAAAAAAAAAATACTATTGGTAGTTTCTCATCTTCAGTATCATGATAAAGATAAAAAAATTGTAATAAACATAAGCA